AACATCCCCCCCCCCTTCATTCATACTCTGATGAAGAAAATCAGAGTATTCTGCAAAAGCATTCTAGTTTTCCACTCAGTTTTTTTTGTGTGGCTTTTTTTTGCTTTTATTGTGATAGGAAAGATCAGAACTGACAGGATGCGAAGTGGAAGAAAGAGAGGGGGGCGGGGATCAGGAAAGATCCTTGAATCGGGATTTGAACTCGGGATGCCCGTAGTAGCGCAACGGCACTGTATGTCGGCGCGCTGCCTAAAAGGCTATCCGCCCCTCCTGAGGACAACTTTAAAAAATAAAATAAAAATATTAAATATGAAATTTAATAAAAATGTTAATTTAATATTATTGAATATAAAAGCTTCTATATGTTCATAATGTATATATTTATACTGTATATATGTTTATAATATCTTGTTTGTGTGTGTGTGTGTGTATGTATATATATATATAGTGTTATATATTTGTATTTACATATAAACATATTTACACACATTTTTTCATATTCATTAATATTAATACACTGAATTGTATATAACTATATATATATATATATAAATATCTTTTCATATTTCATATTCATATCAATATATTAAATCAGTTTTAAAGATTTTATAAGTTTATATTTATATTTGTTTGAGCATCTTGACCAGTTTGACACAGCAACATTTACTTAACCATTGCTGTGGTTTTGTTTGTTTCTGTCTGTTTGGCTGACCAATCATCAATCTTTTTTAAATTCTGTTTGGTGATGCAGAAATGACAGACGTTGCCTTTAAACTACCTCCACGTCTTTATCTTGAATAGCTCAATTCAAATTCAGTAATATTAAAGGCGTTCTCAATTAAAGTGTCCAGCTCTGGTTATGTTGAAGTATTTGTGTTTGCCTCTAGGCCATGTCTCCTATGTGATTAAATGATGCCCAATCCAAACAGCCTGCTTTCAAATTAATGAACAGCGAGGAGGAACGGCCAGTGGAAATGCAGCGCTGGAGGTTTTGCTGAAATGCCTGGAAATCATGAACAATAGGCGAATATGTGCTTACTCACTGTCCTGGCTGTAGTCCCGGGGGACGGCATCTGCATCGTCCAGATAGTGCACAATGTAGCTCTAAAGCATGAACAAGTAATGAATACGTAAGCGTGCCACTATAGAATGCTCCGCTCCTTATGGCTTGCATTGCATTGCACGGCTGTCGGCTGTCGGCGCATTGCATTATTCCCTCAAAAAGGTCCCGGTCAGGCTAACTGAACCTCCAGCCACCTTCCCAATAAGCACAGTGGTCCATGGGGAAAAGCCAGCGCTGGGCAAAGATAACGATAGCGATATTGTGCATCTCTGTTTTCTTACCATTTGGACCATAACGTAAGTGGAGGACGATTTAGATTTTTAACAATCGCAGACTATCGTCTGCATCGCAGGATCAGTCTCCTGCCATGTCTATTCCATATCTTTCTTTGTTGTCTCTTTCCTTCCCCTCCCCAGCTCTCGTAGCATCTGGCTCCCTGGGCTGAAGTTACAGGGAGCTCCAAAGGCAGAAATTGGAAGATGAAAGGTGAGAGATTAAGCTGAAAGGAACAGTGGGTGTTGTCAGAGGTAATTTGAAGTGCATTTGATTTCTCAGAGCCCTCTGAACACTTCCCTGCAATCATTTACCTGCTATATGCCTCCACCTTTAACACGCCAGACGCCCCTCGTGAGATGTGAGGAGACCTATTCATGTGGAAATGGTGTCATGTCATGTTGGAAATGAAAGCAGTGTGTAAAAGAAATGACAGTTTAGTCGGTGTCAGCCAAACCTCAAAACAGTACATGAAGGGTCGGGATGGGTGTTGACTTTGTTCACATCGCCCACCGCAACAAAGAAACTCCAGAAGCAGAAGAAGAAAAGAGACGGGAACACCAAAAGACCCACATTTTCTTGCAGAAAGCACTTCAAAACTGAAATTTCTGAAATGTTTCTGTGTTCTTTCCATTTAAGTACAGAGTTGAGTCGGTGAGGTTTGGGCCTGGTTGTGGACTAGTGATTGACAGATAAGGATATTTTTAATGGGCAATTCCAACGTTTAGCCAGCAAGATGACCGATATAATGTCGAGACAGGGTTGTTGCCATGATGAGACAAGCAGGATATTTTGAGTACTTTTTGGCTCCATTTGGAACACTTTGGGTTAAATTAAAGGTTCATGGGAGATTGCATATTTTTTCACCACTGTTAGTAAATAAATAAATATTAATTAATAAATTGTCTTATTACATTTATTTCTTAATGATTTTAAATTAACTTTCAAGGACTTTTCATATTTTTACCTAACCTTTTATATGTTCCATTTATAATTTAATTTGATGTATGTAACTTAAAATATATTTTATACTTTAAATAAATTAATTTATATAATTACATTTAAATGAAATAATAATAATAATAATAATTATTATTATTATCATCATCATCATCATCATCAACATTATATTCATTATATTTATTATTTATTGAATTGTCTCTACATTATTTTTTTATCTATCTATAAATCTTAACTTTCTGGTACATTTTATTATTTTTATATAACCTTTTACATTTTATCTTTTAGATTTTTTTTATTTAAAAAATTAAATTTAACTTAAAGTATCTTAACTTTAAATACATTTTACCATGCATTTAAATTGAATTTATTATTATTATTATTATTATTATTAATAATAATATAGATTACATTTATTTTATTACTGTGTCTTTAAATAACTTTCATATGGATTAGTGGTTAACATAACATAAGTTATATATTTAAATTTTTTCTTGTTGTTGTTAATATCTGATTAGATTACATTTTAGATTTTGCATTTTATTACAGTCTCAACAAATTAACTTTCATATGCACTCGTGGTTAACATATTTCAAGTTATATATTTACATTTAAAATAAATTTGAATAAACAAATATTAAATATTATTTATAATGCATTATAATGTTATATCCTGAATATCCTATTACACAGTGTTTTTATTTATTTATTTTATTTTATTATAATTTTTTTTTTAGTGAACTCCTTTAAATGTTGATCCATAGTGATCTGTTATCCAGATGAAACTTAATGGATGACTCATTCAAGCTGGAATTTGACACGGCATCTTTCTCTAAAATGCTTCAGATTTGCATACATGTACATACATTTCTTGCTCATAAATAAGTATGTGTTTGTAAAGATAAACTGGAGAAAAGGGTAGAAAACCGATTTTTGTAGGCTCTGGTCTGTTTGTTGCTGATTGGCCCAATTCATGTGCATGTAATTTGGAAAGAGGAGGTCCTACACATAAATCTTCCATTATCTTCAATGGTTGTATTCATTAATCAACAGAATTGAATAATTACTCTTAGCTGTCTCCTCTGCCTAAACTCATTGGCGTAGAGTGTCAGGTGAGGAGGCCATCTTGGTGCGGCGCACCTCTTCTGCCCCGCCGACAGTGGCATCTCACCGCTGGTAATTGGGTGTTTATCTGATCGCTTGTGAAAGACGCTTTTGGCTGCCTATCTGACAATTATCTGGAAGAATTCAATCCGACCCTCCTCTGTCCACCACGGAATACTTGGAGGAAGCGGACCTGAGTGTTTTATGAATGAGGGAACGAGGAAAAAAAACGCAAGAGCTGAAAAATAAATGCAACTCTTACTCGACCGTCCGGTTCATAGTAAATGCGTCTGTCATCATGGCATGCAAATTATGCAATTGTTAGGCACAACAATTCTATCAGGCTGCCAGAACACTGGGGGAAATAAAGGATGATAAGGTACGAGTGTCACAATGAGGCGGCCGGTTGCTCCAATCAGATAGCAGAGCTCTCTGCCGCCGTTTCAGCTCCATGGCCAGGAAATGGTCCAAATGGAGACAGGGAGAATGTTTACTGTGCGTCATACGATAAGAAGAGAATAAAGCCTTTCTGTCAACAAGCTTACAGTGTCTACCACAAACAAGCCATTATGGCTAAAGAGAATTATGAAGTGTCTTTGAAAAGTAGAGGTGTTTATAAAGTGAATTTTGAGTATGTACCTTTGCAATTTTATATATATAATTTTTTTTATTTTTTATTTTATTTTATTTTATTATTTTATTTTATTTTATTTTACATTTGGCAAGTGTGCAATGAATCAAAAGCAATTTGGGTTGAGCAAGATAAATTGCATGACCAAAATGACATACCCTAAAAGTCATTTTATATTTCTGGATCAGTTGTGTTTTGTCATGCATTCATATCATCTCTGAAAAATATTATTGCATCCTAAGAATGTGATGCTAATGCTTTGATTTTGGGTTTCAGATCAGACTGGGCTAGCACACAATCTGCGCTTGTATTTTGCAGATGGTTGATCAGAGTTACCAACAGATTCATTTTGAACCAACAGGCAATATTCCTACTGAGCATGAGATTTCATATCAGCCTTGAGCATTGATCCAAATAAGTCTGGTACATGAGAAAATGGGTTTTAATCTTTCAGTCTTCTGTATCACAAAATTCACCTCTTTACATCTGATTGTCTATTGACACCTGACTGAAGATTTTGTGTTTTGATTCAATGCATTGGTATTAAGCAAAAAGATATTGAGGGATATTTTCAAGTTTTTGTTAATATTTTGCAATAGATTTTATTTTGTATATATATTTTTTCACTTTAATTTTAGTTTAAAGTTTTAGTAATGTTGTTTGTTTTTATTTTATTTTTATAATTTTATTTATTCGTTTTATTTTAGTACTTCAAGTTAAACTAAATGGAAATGAGAAATAATATAAGTAAAATAAGCAATAAATATTTTTTGTAATATTTGTAATATTTTTTGTAAAATTTTTTATGCTTTTAGTTTACTATAATAACCTTGCAGCTAGACATTTTATGTCAAACTGTCGATGATTTACTGAATCATTGATTATCTCGTCCAAAAATGAGTTAAGTAGAAATTCCCTCCAATTGAATTCCTTTGTTTTTCTCTTTATCTGTCCAGATTAATCTCGGAGACATCCAGGGATGCCATCTCTCTAAGAATGATGCAGGTCACATGGTCAAGCGCCAGAGTCCTCATCATTTTCACCTTGCTGCAGTTTGTCCAGTCTGAGCTTTCGGAGGGTCCTTTGGTTCCAGGTAAGCGTGCATGAACCCTGTGTTTTGTGTTTTATTCCTAGATTCTGTTGTGGATTCCCAGGTTATTCCCAAGCTATGTGACAGACACATAAGCCTACTAATTGCACCTAAACTTTGAAAAACCCAGTTATTTTAACGGGAACACTTGCACAGAAGGATCTTGACTTTTATATTCTGCAGTGCAGGCTTATGTGCCTTTCCCATGTGGCTCTGGTGTGTGTTTCTAGTCATTTGATGAACTGTCTGTTTGTGTGATGGACACCATTGTAGGGATTGTCAGATCAACCGTTTCACTACTTCAGGTGAATGATGAATAATGTTAAACAAAAGGAGGATTTCAAGATAAACGGCAGACATCAGTCATGAGCGACTGCTGTCTTCTGACTGAAAGGGATGACTGTTCTTTTATCATGGTTTTGAGAATTGAAGGTGGTGCATTAAATTTTATGAGTCATATTGGAACCACTGAGCTTTTAAAGGGACAGTTCACCTCAAAATCATTTACTGAGCCTCATGTTGTGCCAAACCCATATCACTTTCTTGATTTAAAGGAGAGTTCATTTTTGTCCTGGCTGTTCTTGTCCATATAATGAAAGTAAATGGAGACTGGTTCTATAAATCTCCAAAATGACAAAAACGCACAATAAAATTGCCATAAAATAGTCCATACGACATTTGCAGCATATTCTAAGTATTATACATTTCAATTTGACCAAATTAGACCAAATTATAGTCTTATTTATAGTTGTAGTTTATTTTTTGCTCACTAAGGCTGCATTTTTTCATCAAAATTTTAATCAATTTAAAATAACTGTTTTCTTCTGTAATTTATTTTAACATGTAATTTATTCCTGTGATGCAAAGCTGAATTTCCAGCATCATTACTCCAGTCTTCTGTGTAACACGATCCTTCAGAAATCCCTCTAACATGCTGATTTTCTGATTATTACCTATGTTGAACAGTTGTGCTGCTTAATATTTTTGTGGAAACCGGGATACGTCCTCCCCCCCAGGATTCTTTGATGAATAAATAGTTCCGAAGAACAGCATTTATTTAAAATAGAAATTCTTTGTAGAATTCTAATTTTCTTTACTGTCACTTCTGATCTATTTGATGCATCTTTGCTGAATAACTTTTGAATGGTACTGTATAAAAAAAAAAATCACACTTACACTTACTTAAATCACACAATTGTATGATTCACAAAAGAAAAAGTAATGTGGGTTTGAAATTACACGAGAGTGAATAAAGGAAGACAAAGATAAATATTTACTGTGTGGGTGAACTATTCCTCTAAAACTTCATTTAAACCCTTTTTTCCCATCTTGTACACTTTTACCTAAGGACACCTGAGCGAGCATGTCATCAGTTTTTTCATCGCTAGCAGCATATTGTACGTTCCCTGTAAAGCGTAGTTTATTCATCATGACCGACTTCTGCGACGAGCTCTCTTTAGCCCTCTCTTTCTCCGTTTCTAGCCTTTCTCTCCCTAATTCACATCAGCCAGGATGATACCTCCCCAAATCACCCTGTTATTCAACCATTTTCCTCTTTATTGCTTCACGCTCCTTTTATGTAATATGATACCTTCTCCTCACTTGTTTACCTTCCCTCCTTCTCATTTCCCTTCGTTCCCCCTCCTTTCCCCCTATTCCTTTTCCTGCTGCTTCAGAAACAATTTACTTGTCAGCTCGGTCTGTTGGTGCGCGTCTCTCTGGGTTTAATGTTCTTTTCTGGTGTGCCGTTGGAGGCGGCTGTAATTTCAGTCGCGAGCAGGCGTGCGGTGATGCCTTTTGCTCGCTGCGAGCCTGCATTGATAGCTGGAGCCCGATATAGCAGCGTTAATGAACAGGGCTGAACCAGGCACATCCTGCCCGAAGTCCAATTCACTCCACCTGATGCGTTGATCAGGAACCGCCGCTGAGCTGTAAACAGATGCTGCAGCTGCACAATGAACAGTGTGCAGCTGAGCATGATGGGTTGCATTCTCTAACCACCTGACAATCTCAGAGTTTCTTTGATGAAACTGGTGTCGTGTTGTGTGATGGCTGTAGACTAGATATAGACGCGCATTTACACACCAGTGTACATCTATGATCTCAGTTCCTCTGACCTTAAAGTCAATATGAAATCAAAATAGACTCTATTTACTTTTTTAAATACACATTCCTGGTCTATTTCAAATGATTCATTGCTGCACAGTACTCTAAAGGGGAAAAATATGTAATCTTTAATCAAAATATAGTGATCTTCTCTTCCTCTAACCAACCAATAATAGCTATATAGACCTTGTTTTGAGCAAATTTGTATTTGGCCTGGCTCATTCTAGTGTTTTTTCTCCCTTACAAACCAATCAAGTCCAGATGGATAAAAGTTTTTTTTTTCTTTTTCATATTGTATATGTTTCGTCATTCATAAATTCATCACATTTCAGAAATAGATGGGTTGTAACCATTTTTGCTGACTTTAAGAATATTTAGGAATATTAAATGTGACCCTGGACCACAAAACCAATCATTTTCACCAGGGTCATTTTTTTATTACAATTGAGAATAAATAAGCTTTCCATTAATGTATGATTTGTTAGGATAGGACAATATTTGGCCAAGATACAACTATTTGAAAATCTGGAATCTGAGGGTGCAAACAAAATCTAAATATTGAGAAAATCGCCTTTAAAGTTGTCCAAATGAAGTCCTTACCAATGCATATTACTAATCAAAAATTAAGTTTTGATATATTTATGGTAGGAAATTTACAAAATATCTTCATGGAACATGATCTTTACTTAATATCCTAATGATTTTTGGCATAAAAGAAAAATCGATAATTTTGACCCATACAATGTATTTTTGTCTATTGCTACAAATATACCTGTGCGACTTATGACTGGTTTTGTGCTCCAGGGTCACAAATGTTCAGTTCACTATATTTTGAAAGCAAATGAATAGTGTCACTCCGATGCTTTTCTCCAGATCTTTTCACTGCGTTCACTATGGAAAATTTTACTGTTGCAAATGTAATATGAATGAGTGGATAATTTGTGAACAATTTGTTCTGTTAATCTCAACAGATCAGTTATAATGGATATATTTGGAACTATTTGGTCTGTTCTTTTCAACAAATTAGTTGAAATGGTTCACTTAACAGTCTGAATAATTGTATTGCAAATAAGTTATTTTCTGAATCGACTTGTGCCATTGATTCACTTTCCATCAATATACCTTTACTAGTACTCATGTGGGACTATTGGCTGTCAAACACCTTGCCTTTTTGGTTAGCCAATGTCCATGTTGGGCCACAGGCCTCATACAAGCAACTCAAGTTTGAGTCCAGCTCATGTTATTTCTCAATCCTGTTCTTATCTGTTCTCTGCACCATTTTCTGACTTCTACCTCATACTATAAAAGTGGCAAAAAATTATGTTACACAAAACTGCCTCTGTGCCTGTATTTATTGTACAGCTCTCTGGTAAACTTGATTCTGCTTGGTCAGTAACTGCATGTTGCGGTCAAATATTTTATTATATAATGATGCTAATTTGACTGAAATACACAATTTCTTATATACAGTAGCTTTGCTAAACACAGCTGTAGTAATTTACTTTCTCTTACCTCTCTTTCTTCTCAGTTAATAGAACAATTTTTTACCTCAAATCAATGTTTAATTTCCATTTATATATTTATTTGGTAAGTAACTGCAGGTAAGTACAGTCAGTCGGTCATTATCGCCAAATAACCTCCTTTATGGTGATTAAAAACCCCTCTGCTTCGCATCCTGATCATCCTTGTCAGATTTATTTGGGGATAATGACTGTCTATCTGTACATTATCCCTTATATAGGCTTGTAATCTGTTTTTATATCTACACCTCTATATGAGAAAATGAGAAAAGGGGGCTTGAAGGAGGAAAAAAAAACAGGTGGACTACGGGTCATTGCTAGATATCTGACCGAATGTACAACACAGCAGATTTGGTAGCTGTGCATCATGGGAGCAGGCACTTGAAGGAGCCGTGCGCTTATCCTTCATGTGCTGCTGACAGCAGCACTTTGGTCTGCATATGTTCCGTTGCCCTACCACACCAGGACGCTCCGTCAGTGTCCTACCCTCGGTGATTAAATATGTAGTTAATACAGCGCTATAAGAATATTGAATTACGCCACAGCCGCTGTGACCTTTTTTGAAATTACAGGGCCAATTGTGCGAGACGACCGCAGCACTTTTTAACAGGTGCCGGCCAGAACACAGCCTGAAGGAGAATACATTTGCACCGCTGTTGACCGGCCTGTACTCACTGAACGCCACTGAATCACCAAACAGCAACAATATCACTGCAGTACTTTCCTGTTTATCACTATTTATTGCCATATCATTGTAGTCCCTATGTTTACACTATATCACTATAGCTCCCTTGTGGGCCTTTTACCCAAGACTGAATGGTCCTTTTTCTTTACCTTGTTCTTGTGGTAAAATACAACTGTTACTGCCTTACCTGATGTTTTTAGATAAGATCAGTAAGCGATATATATATATATATATATGTATATATATATTTT